AGAGTGACGTGCTCGCGCCTGCTTCTGCAGAGACCCCTCCGCTGCCTCGCGGGCCCTACAGCGCAGGGGCTGAGGAGCGAGGGCCACAGCAGTATCTTGCATCCACAAGCTCTTACAATGCGACTCTGATGTTCCTCCCGTGGAGAGGTGGGCTCTGTGTTCCCTCTCGTTGAATCTGGGTCGGCTTGAACCTGTAGAAGCAATGCTCTGGTGGCTTCTGAGGCTGGGTCATCAAAGCAGGGCAGCTTCTGCTTGGTTTTCTTGGAAGACTTGATCTGGAGCCCGAGTGGCCATGCTGTGAGGAAGCTCAACCAGCCCACACAGATAGACCCAATGGAGGGGCCCTGAGAGTACAAGGGGAGGAGAGAGAGGCCCGGCCAGCACCCACTGTCCCCACTCCAGCCACCAATTACAACTGCAGCTGCATGGAGACCCCAAGCCAGCCCACCCAGCTAAGCCCTCCGCAAATTCCTGACCCACAGAAACTATGAGAAATGATCAAATGATTCTTGTTGCTTGAAGCTACTAAATTTGGCGTTGCTTTGTTATACAGCAGTAGCTAATTAAGATCGTGTCTCATCGCAAACCCTGTTGAACAGATGTTCAAATGAACCCAGAAGCCAACCGCTTCTCACATCTCCACCCACCACCCAAATCCAGGCCACGCTCGTCTCCTGCCTGGCCTCCCGGCTTCTGCCCTCGGCCCTGCGGTGGTCTGACCCCGCACAGCAGCCAGATCGCCGGGCAGAGCCGACCCTGCTCAGAGTCCTTCACACGACCTGCCCCCACGACGTCCTGACCTCAGCCCCCCCTCTCCCCTTGCTCCCTCTGCTTCAGCCCCTGGGGCCTCCCAGCTGTCCCCTAAATTCATGGGCACACCCCTTCCTCAGAGCCACTGCCCCAGGATGTCTTTTCCCCCAGGTGTCCACTCCTGGGCCGTCTGCTCTCAGCTCAAATGTCACCTGCCAGTGAGCCCCCAGCTCCCTCCCCCGCTTCACTTTCTCCACTGACTGCCCCACCCGCTCCTGGGGCTGGCTGCTGGCTGCCAGCCTTCTTTCCATGATCACATGAGCTTTCCGCCAGCAGAGACTGCCTCTATTGCTCTATCCTCCATGCCCAGAGCAGGGCCTGGCACAGAGAAGAGCTTCAAATATGTGTTGAATGAATGAATGAACGACACTGGAACCTTCCCACCCCACTGAAACCCCAGGTCTTAGCCTGTTCTCGGTTGCTTATAACAGAATACCTGAAACCAGGTAATTTATAAAGAAAAGGAGTTTATTTCTTACAGTTCTGGAGGGAAGTCCAAGGTCAAGGGGGCATGTCTGGTGGGGGCCTTCTTGCTGGGGGGGGGCTCTGCAGAGTCCCAAGTCAGCACAGGAGTCACATGGCGAGTTGCTAACGTGCTAGCTCAGGGCTCTGTTCCTCTTCTTATAAAGCCACCAGTTCCCCTCCTGAGATAACCCATTAACTCCTTATCCATGAATACATTAACCCATTCACCTCCAAAGGCCCTGCCTCTCCACGCTGCCTCATTGGGGATTAAGTCTCCACACGAGCTGGAGGAGACATTTGGACCATTGCACCCAATGGGTGAGGAGGAAGAGAAGGGACGTTGAGCCTTTCAAAACGAGTTGCTGTCCTGCCTTTGCAAGGCACGTCCCATGCTTCAGATGAGGAAATTGAGGCTTAGAAAAGGTGAGTCATTTGTCAAAGGTCATTCAGGTACTCAACAAATATTGAGTAGAACTTCATAGCATCAAACCTTCTGGAGTCTTTGAACACAGACCTCTTAGCTTCCAATCCACTTGCAATCCAAGCCACTTGCAAGCCAAGAGGACAAGTTACTTAACCTCTCTCTGCCCCAGTTTCCTCATATTTTACATGGGGATAATCCGCCACCCCAGAGGCAGGGGCAGCACCCTCACCCAATTGCCCCTCCCAGGTGCCCCACCCATCCCATTCCGTAGAAGATCTGAGATTGACTAAGCTGCAGGCCCTTAGCCCCGTGCCCGTGGGGCTGCTTTGAGAGTTAGGGCAGTGCCTGGCACACAGTCAGTGCTCAGCGCCATGGTGTTGAGGGCCCACTGTGTGCCAGGCACTGTGCTTGGAGCCGGGAGTCGGCGGTGAACAAGACAGGCCAAGCTTGCGCCCTGAGAGGGGAACAGACAATGAAGAGAGCAAACGGCACTGGAGGAGCTGGAGTGGCAGGTGGTGACAGGGATGGAGAATGCTGGGTGGGGACAGGGCGGTGCTCAGGGTGTCTGGGAGGTGACATCTGGGGAGTGCATGGTGATAGAGCCATCAGGCAGAGGGAACAGCAACGCAGACGTGGGAAGAGTTTGCCATGTTGGAGAAGCGGCCTGAGACCAGCGGGGAAGGGAGTGAGGAGGCACAGATGTGGCCAGAGGAACCGTGCTGGGCCCCCTGCCTGCTCCCCTCCCTGCCCCTGAGGGACTGGCTGGAGTACTGCCCTGCCCCCCAGACCTTGTGACCTCCGTCTAGCTCAGTCCCAGCCCCCAGCACTCACTTCCCCTTGCAGCTATGACCCAGGAAGGCAGGGACCACACCCTTTCCTAGACTGCATCTCCCCTCCCTCAACTCCCCACCAGGGTGGGCCTGGAACCCCCCAAGGTGGCAGTGGGCCCAGCAGCTGCCCCCTGCCTTCACCCACCACTGGCCCCCAGCAGTACCAGACCCTCAAAACCTCCTCCCTTTCCATTCCCCAGCTCTCCCCAAAGCCATGGGGGTTCCCCAAATGCATCAGACATTCCTAGGCCTGCAATACCCTTTCCACTCTCCACCATCTGATCAAATCCCGGCTGTCACCTCCATAATCTTGGAAGTCCCTGGGTTATGAACAGAAAATGAGTCTTCATCTCTACCCAGGGCCTGGCACAGGAGTTGGCATCAAGAGAGATCATAATGGATGGATGGGTAGGCAGATGGGTAGATGGGTGGGTGAGTGGATGGATGGATGGGTGGATGGGTGGGTGGATGGGTGGATGGGTGGGGGGGTGGATGGATGGGTGGATGGGGGGTGGGTGGGTGGATGGATGGGTGGGTGGGTGGGTGGATGGATGGATGGGTGGATGGGTGGATGGATGGGTGATGAGTGGATGGGTTGGTGGACGGATGGGTGGAAGGGTGGATGGGTGGATGTGTAGGTGGATGGGTGGACAGAGGGATGGAAGGGTAGATGGGTGGGTGGATGGATAGATGGATGGGTGGATGTATGGATGGATGGGTAGGTGGGTGGGTGGGTAGGTGAATGAGCAAGGAAGTTATTTGGGTCCAATTGGCCCATTATCCACTGGCCTGTAAACTGGACCCTGTGTTGGGCTCAAAAGCCAGCAATGGCTCTGACAGATGAAGGGTCTCATTTAAACAGAGAAAAATCTCAGTGGTCTCTGTGTCCAGAGCCCATCGCACAGGAGAAGCTGACATCCAGAAAGGGTGAGTGACTTGCCCATGGTCACACAGCAATGTGGGAAGAGCCAGCCTCAGAACCCAGGACTCAGTCCCTGGCCATGCCCCTCCCCTACCCAATGAAGCATTTCTAGAGATCACTCCAGCTCTACTTTCCAGAATGAGTCAGGAACATCTGTAGCTCCAGGGCCAAAAATACTCCCAGGGACTCCCTGGTAAGAACGCTGACATCTTTCCGGGGTGTCTGAAAACAGAACCGGCCTTCCTGGAAACTAATAATAACAGTACCATTTTAAGTCAGCTTCTCACTCTGATCTTGCTATACCCCTGTCAAATAGGTGACTGAGGCTGGGGGCAGTGGCTCACGCCTGTAATCCTAGCAATTTGGGAGGCTGAGGTGGGAGCATCGCTTGAATCCAGGAGTTCAAGACCAGCCTGAGCAATATGGCAGGACCTCATCTCTGCAAACAAATAGAAAAATTAAGGCCGGCCACGGTGGCTCACGCCTGTAATCCTAGCACTCTGGGAGGCCGAGGCGGGCGGATTGCTCAAGGTCAGGAGTTCAAAACTAGCCTGAACAAGAGCGAGACCCTGTATCTACTATAAATAGACAGAAATTAATTGGCCAACTAATATATATAGAAAAAATTAGCCGGGCATGGTGGCACATGCCTGTAGTCCCAGCTACTCGGGAGGCTGAGGCAGGAGGATTGATTGAGCCCAGGAGTTTGAGGTTGCTGTGAGCTAGGCTGATGCCACGGCACTCACTCTAGCCTGGGCAACAAAGCGAGACTCTGTCTCAAAAAAAAAAAAAAAAAAACAAATAGAAAAATTAGCCAGGCATAGAGGCACGTGCCTGTACTCCCAGCTGCTTGGGAGGTTGAGGAAGGAGGATCACTGGAGCCCAGGAGTTCAAGGCTGCAGTGAGCTATGATGATGTCACTGCACTCCAGTCTGGGCAACAGAGAAAGACTCTGTCTCAAAAAAAACAGATAAATGACCAGGGCCCACCTGGCAGAACGTGCCATTGAGGCACCCAAAGAGATGTGCCAGGATCACAGGGCGGCCCTCATCTGACATTCGGCTGCCATCTCCCAGCCCAGAACCTTCCTGAAGCCAGATGCCTCTCAGAGATACATGCACCTGGGCAGATCTTAGACAGCACCCACCCCCACCCCCACCCTGAATTCCATTTTTTCATTCTTAATGTCTTTACCATAAAAGCAACAATACATATTCACTTACGAAAATCCGAAAAATGCAGAAAAGTCAAAATAAGGAAGAAAAATCACCACCCACAGCCCCACCACCCAGAGACAATCATTGTTAAGGTTTGATGTATTTCCTTCCATAGTTTTTTGTTTGAGGACTTTTTTTAAAACGTGGCTGAGATCATACTGTATATTAAAAGAAAAAAACAAAGCGGGGGTATCCTGCCTTTCTGAATTGCCATTATATTATATCACGGGCACTTTTCTGGTTCTATCACTCTCTGTGACCTCGTTTCTTTTTCCTCTTCTCTGAACCTCACTTTTATTGGCTGCCTAATATTTTGTCAAGTGGAAGTTCCATGGTTTATTTAGCCATTTCCTTATTGTTGGACATATCAGTTGTTTCCAGTTTTTCGAAGTTATAAATAATATATTTTGGTCGATATGATTACACAGAAAGCTTTCCTTTTTCCATGTTTAGGGATTGCTCCTTGGCTGGAGTGGAATTATTGGGTCATCGAGCCCCGGATGTATGCTCCTGACACACTCAGTCCAACTGCCTCCCGAAAGGCCCGAGCCGCGCCCACTCTACAGATGAGTAAAGAGAGGCGCGGAGCTGATGTAAACTGCACATGGCCACTCGGCCAGTCAGCATTTCCCACGCTCCTTCCTCCGTAGCTCATCTACATCCACTGTCGTCTTGCCTGTCATCACTCATCCGTCCAGTTCAACAGAGAAGGTGAGCCCACTGTGTGCCAGGCAGGGGTCCAGGCTCCAGAGGTACTGCAGTGACCAGACTCCCTGCCTTCAGCAAGGCATGACGGGAGGGAGCAGACAGGAGGAAAGGAAGGCGCATTCTCACCCACTTGTGCATTTGGCTATATGCAGTTTGTGGTGCTCATTTGCATATTATCTCATTTGCATGCCATCATATTTGAATATCATCTCTCATTTGCATGCCACTTGGGGAGAGGTGGGCAGCCAGAGGGTGACATCTAGCAGCTCCAAGAGCAGGGTCTTTGTTTTCCTTGGCTCAGAGCTGTTTTCTAACATTTAGCCTTGCCTTAAAAATTGGGAGATTTCAAATGATCTAGAATTCTGGCTTCTCTGGAACATTCTGCAGACCTGGCTACACTGGCCCCTATTCCCAGAAGGCCCTCGAGGACCCGTGCTCAGCCGTGGCACCCCTCTGCCCAGACCCCACTGGGCCACCTTGCCACACAGTGCTCAGCCCCTTGGTCCTTCCTTCCTGAGTCATTCATTCAGTCCATGGGCCTTTCACGACTGGGCTGGAGGGACATTGACGATTGTATCCCTGACAGGAGTAACACCACGGTGAAGTCACTCTGCTGAGGTGACGGAGATACAAGTGACAGAGGTAGGACTGACCCAGGCAGCCGGGCTCCAGGGTCCAGGCTCTTGGCCACACCAGGCTGACAGTCCAGTGGGAAAGCCATCAGGCAGTGGACAGACTGCCCTGCCGTAGCCGAAGGAAGCTCAGAGGGTTCCCGGGGGCAGCAGAGGGGAACCCTCTCACAGCACTGAGAAAACGGGCCTGGGAGCTGGGACTCAGAGGCCAGGTTGGAGAGCTCCTATTTCTTTGACATGGGGCCCCTCTGCCCAGAATGCCCTCTCTCCCTTCCTTTACTGGCTTAGTGCTTACTCTTGCTCAGCTGACATGCCACCGCCTCCAGGGAGCCCTCCCTGACCCCAGGGAGGGTGTGCAGCTGGCTCCCAAGCCCTGGTCCAGCCCAGAGGGGTACGTGGCCTTGTCTGGCAGGAGAGACAGGAGTACCAGTAACCACACCGAGTTCCCGCAGCCCCCTGGGAAATCCCAGCCACCTCCTGCCCCTCGGTCCTGTGTGGGTTAGGAGAGAAAGGGAGAATGAGCAGTGACGGCAGGACAGTGGGGTGGCCAGTGGCCCAGGGAACCCCAGTCCTGGGCACAGCCCCTAGCTTCACCCTCACTGGCCGCATGACCGTGGGTATCCCTGAACCACCCTGTGCCTCAGTTCCCTTGCCCCTAAAACAGACAGCAGTAGGGGCCTTCCCTCGGGTCCCGGGAGACCTCACTGGAATGGCCGGGTGGACGCCCCAGCAAGTGTGCACTCATTACTATGAATGAACAGGGAAGGACCCACCCTCAGGGTCACAGGCGCACGGAACCCCAGGGGCCCAGAGGGCCCCAGCCCCACTCTCCCATTGCACAGCTGAGGAAACTGAGCCCAGAGGAGGAGGAGAACATGCCTTAAACAAGGTCCCCCTGCCCAGCTGCTGACTCCAGCTGCCCTTGGCCCTGGGTTCACCCCCTCAAAACGTCTCTGATAAGAAGGGATCCAGTGACCCTTGGGTTCAGAGCAGCCACCACCCAGCCCCCTGCCCTTAAAGGGCCAGCGTTCGTCTGTCCTGGGGCCAGCCAGGGCCTGGCACTTGCCTCTCTGGGAAGGACCTTCCCCCAGAGACTGCCTCCCTGGCCAAAGGGAGGGGATGGCTTCCTGGTCTGAACAATGGGGCGGGAGGTCCCTCAGCCCCTGGTGTGCAGGGGTGTGGGGACATCTGATGGGGACGCCATTCCCAATCAGGGAGCACAGGGAATGTGGAGATGGGGGCAGGACAGGGGCAGGGGTCCAAGCGGCTGCCAAGCATGAACCCCCTGCCGGCCACGCTGTGTCCTGGCCCCTCTGGCCACAGCAGCGAGAGAGCATCACTGGGAACACACTCTGGCCTTGTGACCCTGAGCAAGGGGCTCCGACTTGCTGGGCCTCAGTTTCCCCACCTGTAAAATAGAGATGGCAAGAACTTCTACTCCGTGGGATGGTTGTGAAATCAAATTGAAGCCTTTCAGTGAAGGGCCCAGCACCGAGCAGGTGGGGTCAGAATTCGCACACAGGAGAAGCCGGGCGGTGGAGTGCAGGGGTCGCACACACAGGCTCAGCCGCCACCGGCCTGGGTGAGAATCCCACTCTGTCCTTCCAGCTGTGTGGCCTTGGACATGTTACTTTACCTCTCTGTGCTTTTGTTTCCTTGTCTGTAAAATGGAAATAATAATTATCCTCTGCAGAGAAGTATTTGAAGATTAGCTGAGTTAACATATAAGAAGTGCTTAAAGAACACGGCTGGGCCCTTCCTAAGCACTCAGAGTGCACATCACTGTGGCTGTCGTCTTTAGTGTCACCTCCCTGCCTGTGGTATCAGGTGCCTATTGCAGCCGTAACAGAGTACCACGAACACATCTCACAGTTTGCAGGTCCAGGTGTCGGCAGGGCTGAGTTCCTCCCAGGACTCTCAGGCAGAACCACTTCCCCGCCTTGTCCGGCTTCTAGAGGCTGCCAGGATTCCTTGGCTTGTGGCCTCCTCCTCGTTCTTCAAAGCCTGTGTGGTGGCGTCTTCAAAGCTCTCTCATCTGATCTCTCCTTCGGCCCTCATAGCTTCTGACTTTGACTCTCTCCCCTCCTTCTGTGTTTTTTAACGTTTTAATCTTGAAATCATTTTAAATTAACAGAAGAGCTGTAAAGACAGCTCCCATCTACCTGACACCCAACTTCCCCTAACGTCAACGTCTTACATAACGGGGGTGGATTTTTCAAAAGGAAGAAGTTAACGTTGACGCAGTCCCGTAACTGCAGGCCGTACTCAGACGCCACCAGCTTTGCCACTGCCGTCCTCGTCCCGTTTCGGGACCAGCCCCCATGGCATTGGGTCACCGCACCTCCTTACGCCCTTCCTATATGTGATGGGTCCTCGGTCTCCCCTTGTTTGTCCTGATCTCGACACTTTCAAAGAGTGCTGGTTGGGCATTTTGTAGAAGGTCTTTCAATGTGGATTTTTAAAAGCAGCTTTATTAAGATATATGACTAACTTGTGTATCATATAATTTATCTATATAAATAAAGTATATAATTCAATGGGTTTGGGTTTCTTACATTATTAATCTTTAAAATTATGGTAAAATGCATATAACATAACATTTGTCTATTTAACCATTTTTCAGTGTGCAGTTCGGTTTGCCCCCTCCTATACACACCAGGCCCCCCTAGGTAACTCCCATCTCAGGATCCTTAACTTAAATCATATCCGCAAAATCCCTTTGCCACGTAAGATGACCTATTGTCAGTTTCTGGGAATCAGTACATGGACATCTGTGGCGGGGCCATAATTCTGTCCCCCACACCTTCCTGTAAGCCACCAGCCACCTCACACCCACAGTTACTAACACCTGTGTCCCTGCTGGACTTGGGCTCCCTCGGCGCAGGGCCAGTCCAGCCTCCACCCCTGCCACGTCCCCAGTGCCTGGAGTGAGGCCTGGGACACCTTAATGCCAATACTCATTAGCACTCACTCTGACCTGAGCATGTGACACGCCATTTTTGTGAAAAATGGTCAAATAGAAGCAATCTCATCAGGTGCACCCTAATTTGCACCAGGCACAGCGTGTGACAATTTACACAGAGGACCTCGCTTCCTCTGCACAAAAGTCTGTGCAGAATGAGCCACTCTCAGACCCATTTTACAGACAGGAAACCAAGGCCCAGGGAGGCGGATAAGGTTCTGACACCCACACAGGTGGCACATTTGCATGCAGGTGTCTGCTCCCAGGTCTGCTCCACGCTGCGGCAAGTCAAGTCGGCTGCGAGTCTCTGTGAAGCCATTTCAGGATTTGCTGCTAGAATCCTGAAATGCACCCAGACCAGCGGGTAACTAGTCTCTGCCCCAGACCTCCAAATGGCCCTCAGGCTGCCCGGGCCCCCAGAGCCCCAGACCTCCTCAGGAGCCCGTAGCTAGAGGGCACTGCCCGGCCCAGCAGGGATCCCAGTCACCTGATTGGTCAGCACCCAGCCCCCCATATGAGAAATCCTCCCCACCCCCACTGGCCCCCCTCTTCTGGCCCTGGTGGGTGCTCAGTGAGTGCGGCGACCCAGCCAAGGGCAGCTTGAAAACCCCACAGCCCCCCGACTCCCCCGGCTCCTCCGCGAGGATCACTGACACTGGGTGCCCCAGCGGCGCCCCACTCCCGGGCCGTGTGCGGAGGGAGCAGAGGGCAGAACAAGGGGGCTTTGAGGCAGCCCTATCTCCGGAGGGAAGTGGAGGCGATAACGCAGCTTCTCACTTTCCCAGCCTGTCTCGGGGCAGAGATAACCCGGAGCAGACGGGGTGCCCTGTGAGAGCGGGGCCACCCACCCGCCCCCAGGGCTCCCACGATCCCCGCTATCGCAGGCTCCAGGCTGAAACCGGAGCAGCCGCTCGGAAGAGTGGCCCACGGACGGACGGCGGCGATAAGCCGGGCCAGAGCTGGCGGGGAGGAGGCCGCCACTCCAGCACCCCTGGGAAAGGCCGCTCCCCAGCCTGGTGCCACCGCACCCGCCCCAGGGACCCCCGACGTCCACCCCGTGTTCCCGGAGCTGCCCCAAGCCACAGCCGCCGCCCCGCAGCCACTTGCAGAGCCCAGCGCCCTTCAGCAGCGCCAGTCCGGCCCTCGCGCTGCCCAGCGAAGAAGCTGACGCCGGAGAGGCTGGGCGTCTTGCCCGAGCCACACAGCCGAGCGAGGACTTGAACACTGGTCCCCTGGCTGCTGCAAGCTCCTCTCCAGCCCACCAGACCCCTGCTGTCAGATGTCTGTCAAACGTTGGAACGTTGGGGGAAGGCGGGCGGGGGACCGAGGGCACCACCAGGTCGAAACTCTGGAGGGTGGGCCGGGGACCGGGGGGCAGAGGCTGCCGGGTGTTGGGGAGGACCCAGAGCTGGCGCAGGACACCAGGTGTCTGCTGGGGTCGGGGCTGGGAGTATGTGGCTCTCAGCGCAGGAACCGCCGAGCGCCCTGAGGAGTGGCCACGCTACGGTCAGCGCTTCCACGAGGAAAGCACTTATTTTTTTTAAAAAAAGAGAGAGAAATTAATTTTTCTGTCACGTGAAAGTCAGGATGTAGGAAGTTAGAATCTGGTCTGGGAGTTCTATGGTCACGTGGGTCCCCAGCTAGCCCACCTGCCCTAGGATGCGCCTCGGTCCTCATGCTCCAAGGTGTTGCTCCCAGCGTCACATCCACCGTCCACAGTGAGACGGACGTCCGACCGACGCTGGGGCTGTCCTGGACGAATGCTCCTTGTTCGGTAAATCTCTTTAAGTAATAGCAGGGCAGTGTCTTCCGGTTCCCAATAGCGCGACTCTGAAGAGCGGAAAGATACTCATTAAAATCTCTACTGGCTTTTCCTGAAGAACGCAGTCAATTCGGCGGCCTCCATTGAACATTCCGACCTTTCCTAAGTAGTCTTCGTCCTTGAAGAAACCTGGACCTTCAACAATCTTTTCTGCTTTTACCGTGGAAGGCCAGAGCCCAGGGCTGGATGAACAGCCAATGAATGAATGAGTGAGCGAATGAATGAATGAGCAAATGAGACCATCTGCCCAGCTTTTTCTCAGAGGAGGGGTGCTCGGCCCGGCTTCCTGCCCCACCTCTGCGCCCGTTGTAGCTTCATGCCCTGCCCCGCCCTGGCCCCAGGTGGAAGCAGCAGGTGGCCAGGGCTGCAGGTGGACAGTGTGGCTCCCAGGCAGGGACAAATGTGCTGCTTCCCACAGGCTAGCAGCCCAGGCACTGCCCGCCTGCCCGCTGCCCTCCGCCAGCCTGAGCAAGGCCCTCTCTGTGGGCCCAGAAGCTCCAGCACGTGGTGCCCAAGAACACAGGTCGGCCCAAGACCCAGAGCAGAGGCCCTGCCCACAGCCAGCCCCAAAAGGCCAGCGACTGGAGAGTGAGTGACCCACAGGCCTGGAACCACCGACGCCCCGGTCCTGGCTTCAACGCATTCACTTGTAGAATGCAGGCAGCAGAATAAAGGCATCATTATTATAAATGGGGAAACTGAGGCCCGGAGTAGGAAATGTCTTGCACAAGGTCACAGAGTGAGACAGTGGCAGACAGGAATAGGACTCAGGCCCCAATTCTTCCAGCCTGCAGTGCTGGAGGTGTCTTCATACCTCCCTGTCCCCACCATCACCCACACCCTCCACCCCCGTGACCCCATTGTAATGCTTGCGGACCCTCCTCCTCGGATGTGGTGTCCCAGCGTGGCAGCGGCCCCGAGCCCACCAGTCCTGTCTCCATCACCCCTTGTGAGCTCCTCTGAGCCTCGGTTTCCTCACCGTGGGTGTTGCTGGTGACAGTTCTGGTCTCATGGTGTGGGGGTGAGGATTAAATGAGAGGCTGTCGTTTGAACAGACATTTCTCCAAAAAAGATACACGAATGGCTAATGAGCACTGGGAAAGCTGCTCGGCGCGGTTGGTGGTTCAGGAAGCGCACGTGGAAACCACGATGAGAGCCGCCTCGCGCGGGCCGGCTATAACCAGAGCGGCGGCGGCAGGCGTTGGCGGGGACGCGGAGAGACCCGAGTCCTTGTCGTACGCCGCTGGCGGGAGTGCGAAATGATTCAGCCGCTTTGGAAAGCAGCTTGGCAGCTCCTCAAAACGCTAAACGTGGAGCCGCCATATGATGCAGCGATTCCCCTCCTAGGCATGTACAAAGGAGAGACGGCCACGTACGGCCGCGCGGAGACTCGCACACGGACGCTCGCGGCAGCGTCACTGGTGGGAGTCGCAAGCTGGAAGCAGCCCAGGCGCCCGCAAGCTGGTGAGCGGGCGGAGGAAAGGCGCCCGCCCGCGCCGTGGAGTACTACTCGGTCGTAAGCAGGGCCGGGGACCGATACGGGCTGCGACATCCCGCTAAGTGGACGAAGCCAGCCACAGAAGGCCACATACAGTGCGGTTCCGTTTACGTGGCGTGTCCAGACCAGGCCAGTCCCCAGGCCGGAACGCAGACCAGCGTCCCTGGGGCGGGAGGCGAGGGGACGGGAGTGGCTGCTGGCGGGTGTCGGGTTTCTCTTCGGGATGATGAACGTGCTCTAAAATTAGATTGTGGTGACGGCCGTGCAACTCTGTAAATATATGGAAAACCACTGAATCATATGCTTTAAGCGGATGAACTGTATGGCATGTGAATTATCTCTCAACAAAGCCGTGGGAAAACGCGGCGGTCCAAGTCGCGGCTGTCCACAGCGCGTGCAGGGGGAGTGGGCGGCGGGGGCGGCCGCGCCCTTCGCGCTCTTGCACTGTCGTCTCCTTTGCTCCTCGCAGCCACCCTGGGACGCGGGCGTTTGGCACAGGAGGAGGCAAGGCGAGTCCCGGGGGACTGGGAGCCCTGCACCCCCCCTGGCCTTCTGGACTAACGAGAGCAGGGCAGCCCTGGGGGGAGGGGCTGGGAGTGCCGTGAGCAGCATTTCCACATGCCAGGCCTTGTAGTGGACTTGGGGGGACTAAAAGGGCCCCAAGGGTCTGACCCCCCCTACCCTTCCCCACTCCAGGCCTTTGTTTTCCCATCTATCAAATGGGCTCTATCAGTGGTTTTCAAACTGTGTTCCAAGGCACCCTGGGACCAAGACAAGATTTCTGCCACCCTGGAGAGGATGTTCCTGAGGTTCTCTTGGGACTCCACCCATATCTCCCCTTCAGTCCCGGGCCAGCCCTTGAAGGCAGGATGTGGCTGCCAAAGGTAGGTGGGGAAGAGGAAGGCGTGGGGGGTCATGCACAGGAATCCACATCCTGGGGACCAGGAGATGGGAACTCCAGGTGTTCGTAGCGCAGCTTCCGGCTCCAGCCTGGGGAAGAAGCCTCGGCCGCCGCCTCCCAGGACGAAGCCGCCTGGCTCACAGCCCAGAGCCCTTCCCGGACGCGGTGCCGGCATTTCAGCTTCCCCTCTGCCGCGGGAGACACTCTGGAGCCTCTCGCGCAGGGGGTGGGTCCCCAGGCCTGGGCTGTCCGTGGTCCCGGCTACCGAGTCCCAGAAACCCCAGGAACCCAGCAAGAGGGTGAAGGTCGGGGAGGTCACAAGGCCCCATTCCGTTTGCTTACGTCTAACCCCACATCAGAGACCATCCTGTGGAGGTGGCCGACGAGGTCGGGGGAAGGGAAGTGGGCTAAAGGGAGTGGTGGGGCCTGAGGCCAGATGGAGCACCCTGTCCCTTCCAAAGGGGAGCTGTCACTTGGCTCTAGCCAGCTGTTGAAGCCAGAAATCTGCATTTTGCTGTGCAGTCTCCAGATTTTGGAAAAGTTTTGTGAGCAAAACACATCCCTATCTGAGTACAGCCCATAAGTTGCCGGTGGGCAATTGTCTCATGGATGGATACAACACCCATCTCACAGATGAGAAAACCGAGGGCAAGGAAGGAGAAGTAGCACGTGCAAAGTCCCCCACGGCGTGAGTAGCAGAATCCAGACTCAAACCCAGATCTCCTGATTCTAGACTCGGGGAAGGACACTTCCAGGAAGCTATTCCTTTGCTTTAAAAAAAAAAAAAAAAGGCCGGGCGCTGTGGCTCACGCCTGTAATCCTAGCTCTTGGGAGGCCGAGGCGGGCGGATTTGCTCAAACAAGTCAGGAGTTCAAAACCAGCCTGAAGCAAGAGCGAGACCCCCGTCCTACCCTATAAATAGGAAAGAAATTAATTGGCCAAGCTGATAATATATAAATAGCGGGGGAAATGGGCATCCTGAAACCTAAACGACCCATAATATGCCAAAATAAAAAAAAAAAAAAATTACCGGATGGTGCGCAGCCTGTATCCCAGCTACTCGGAGGCAGGCAGGAGGATCGCTGAGCCCAAGGATTTGATGTTTGCTGTGAGCTAGGCTGACGCACGGCATCCTTAGCCTGGACAACAAAGTGAGACTCTGTCTCAAAAAAAAAAAAAAAAAAAAAAAACCCAAAAACCCAAAATAAAACAGAAACACCCTTCCGTCTGCAGTCTGGCTAACTAACAATGGAAGCCCCACACCACAGCACAAGGAAGCTGTCTGTGTGTGCGCCGATGCCCACCGTTCTACAAGAAGAGGACTCTGCCATTTACAGCGCGAGTTAAAGGCAGAGAAAAGGATACAAATCTATCTTCACCCAGAACTGTGGCTCACGCCTGCAATCCTAGCACTCTAGGAGGCTGAGGCAGGAGGATTGCTTGAGCTCAGGAGTTTGAGACCAGCCTGAGCAAGAGCAAGACCCCGTCTCTACTAAAAATAGAAAAATTAGCCAGGTGTGCTGGCAAGCACCTGTAGTCCCAGCTACTTGGGAGGCTGAGGCAGGAGGATCACCTGAGCCCAGGAGTTTGAGGTTGTAGTGAGCTGTCATGATGCCACTGCACTCCAGCCCAGGCAACAGAATAAGACCCTGTCTCAAAAAATAAATAAATAAATAAATAAACTGTCTTCCAGTTTACCCACACAGGCCATCTCTGAGAGAACGTACTCAAGAAATGGGCTGGAGGAAGGGTGGGAAGGGAACTTCCCACTGCGCACCCTTTGATGTATTTTGATTGTTGGACACGTGAACGTATCAGCTCTTCAGTAAGAAGATGGTTGGTTGTTTGTTTGTTCTAATTGTTCCCTTGTTTCATTCTCTGAGCCTGGGACATGAAGGCGCATTTGCAGGTGTCAGGTGTCCCTGGCATCTGGGGCCAGCTCCCTGGGAGCTAGAGAGGCTGGCGGGCGGGGGGAGCCAACCCTGGATAAGGCCTATTGGGTGCCACCCACCCCCAACTCCCCAGCCTCCCCATGTACACGATGCACACGAGGTCCTTATGGCTACTCCATGAGATGAGGCAGTTCCAATCCCCATTTTATGCATGAGGAAACTGAGTCACAGACCAGAGTTATGGAAGCCAGCTCAGAGCTGGGGCAGGTCCTCGGCCCAGCCCGGCTCTGCCCCAGGCCCTCCCGGTCTCAGGTGAGGAGCCACAGCCTGGGGACTGTCATAGCCCAGGCTCCAGGCTGCAGGCCCCAGGCTCATTCTCAGGTTCTTCCTGGAGCTAGGGGGGCAGTTCCGGCCCCAGCCACACCCCCACAGTCCTGCTGTTCCTTCCCGGAACAGCCCCATCCCAGGTCCAGAGACGGTGTGGGTTGCAGGCAGAAGCAATTCCACCCTCAGCCTCCAGTCCAACAGCCCCTGACAACAGAGCCTGCGTCCGGGAGTCCCCCAGGACAGCCTGCTCAAGGTGGGGGCCGCAGGCAGGACACCGGGAATTCATGGCGCCCCCTTGGGCAAGGTGCAGCCCTGCCAGGAGTGGGGGTAGCGCCCCACCGACTCCTCTGGTGAAGAGACCAGAGAGGTTAGGCCATTAGCCAAAGTCCC